CGCACCTCCCGGCGATAAAGTGCGATCCCGAGCGCTGGGAGGAGGAAAGGCAATGGCGAGGCAGCCGAGCTCCTCTGGCTCGTGTATGTATTTGTCTTACTTTATGGAAGTCACCAACTATCGCTGCGGCGCATCAGTCACCGCCGGGAGCTGCCCGGCACAGCAGGGCAAGGCTGGTTCGCTCTGATTTGGGTTTAGACTTATTTATTTAATGGAGATGCGCCGGCAAACAGATAAATGAGCGAGGCTACCAGGTCTCTGTGAGCGTACCGAGTCCAACTTCTGACCGTGGATGAAAAGAGGGATGCTGAGATGGTGTGGAGACAGGACTGGTAAGAGCTGCCAAGGAGCGAGGCAAGGCAGAACAGCAGGACAAGGGGGAGAGGTGGTGGGAAGGAGGAAGGGAGAAGGAGAAAGGGAAAGATCGGTTTACATCGGAATGGTTTCTTTTTATTCTAAACGTAGCCTCCTACCCTGGCTAAGGTGCTGCTTGGTTTGTGATGCTGAGAGATAGCTCAGACCAGAAAGGATCTCTCCTGCCCGAGAGCCGGGAAGGCAGAGGGAGCTCCGGGAGGGACCCGTGAAGTTCACGCCAGACTTTTCCCCCCTTCATCCCCCCCTGGCACATTAGCATGCAGGGTAGGCTCTGGTGTGTATTTAACGACTCCATTTGGCAGTGTGTCTGTTAGCTCACACCGCCCTTCCCCAGCCTCGCTCCTCGCCTGCCTCCCGGACCAGCTGGGTCCGTCTCCCTGCCGTGCCCACCCCAGCGGACTCTGCTGGACCCGAGTGCCATCCCCAGCTGGGCTGGGCAGCGAGAGCAAAGCTGCGAGCGCTACTGCAAGGGGAGGGGGCAAAGCCAAGCGAGCTCAGGCGAGAGAAGCAGCGAGAGCCTCGGCAGTAATGAGGGAGAGAAGCTGTTTAGTCATCTCTCTATATATACTTTCACAATGATGATCACATTTACTGATTGCTTCTGACTGCATTTAGAGAGGGAGTCAAGAGGCAGGCAGCACAGTTCACCTTTCATCCTGAGGAGTGACTGCTCCCCCTTCCTTCCAGTTCCCCAGATTTAGCCCTACTTTTGAGTGGCTTTCCTTGCCAGGTAAGCTCTATGAGTGGCAAGATGGGGCTCTCCGGGCTGACTGGGAGGGAGGGAGGGGAGAAGTTTGCATGCATTTATCCTAAGCCTGTTGCTTTTGCTCCTAAATCTCTCCAACGGACTGAGGGAGCGAGGGTTTTGCAGAAAGTTTGATTTTCTGATGTGCTGGCGAAGGGAACGTGTGACTGGCAGAGGATATCGAGGCTTTGGCTGACATATTTTGCTTTAAAGCAAATGTCTCTTTGCTGCCTGAGCCAACAAGGGCAGGAGAGGGAAGAAGGAATGATCTCAAGGCTCTTCACTCCTATTAACAGTGTCTCATCAAGTAACTCACAGTATGTTTATCAGTCAGATTTCAAATCATCTCTGTCTGCTTCTAGAGAGGGAAACACTCAGGTTTTTTGGTTTGCTCCTGCTTTCCTGAGATGATGATGAAGAGACATTTATTCAGTGTGGCATTGCCGTGGGAGCTAATGGGGTAAGAATCCATCCTTTCTTCCTTGATCCTTTAGGTGAACAGACATAACTGTTCTCTAAAGTTTTCCTCCAGAGCTTTCCTGACCTAGCCATGCCTGTCAGGTTTGTGTTTCAAACTGGGATGAAACCACAGTGCCCAGGGAGCGGCTGCAGCCGGAGGAACTCGGAGGTTCTCGGAGGAACCAGATGAGGTTGGGAGTCCTGGGAAGGGAACAGGAGGCTCCTGCCTCAGCCTTTTCTATCCAATTTGCTCAACCATTTCACTGTCCTCATAATTATCTAAACAAAGCAGATTCTCTTCTCTATGGATGCTGACTCTTTTCAATCAGGAGGCAAATGATTTGATTTCGTGTACCAGGTCTTGTAAATGTCCTCAGCAGGGAGCCAGTCTGCTGTTAACTAGTTCATTTCAAATTACATGCAGAAATGATGGTAATTAAAATTAGAAATATGGCTATAGCTAAAGATATGCTCGTTAGAATTAAAGTGTGCCTGTCTGCTGTGTGAGCTGAAGAGATTCTGTTGACAGTACAGTAGATTTTGAGTCCAACCAAGTGCTTTCCAGGCTGGTTTGCAGTTACCAAAACCCAGGCAAGGAAAAAAAAAGGAAGATTCTTTCCACATTCTGTAGATCAACTAGTTACTTCATCTTTTTTTCTACTCAGCTTACGTTATGCAGCTCTGAATTACAAATCCAGTCCTGTCTCTCTCTTAATTTTCTGTTTCTTACTTCAGGGAGTGGTGGAGTTCCAAGGACTCCTGGACAAGTAAAAGCAAAAACTTTGCAATAGGATATTCCATTACAACTTATAGCCAAAAAAAGACTCTCTTTTCGTGTATTTTAAGCATCAAATGGGACAGATTCATTGCAACTTAGAAAACTAAGCTGTGTGCACCCTGTTTCCTTAACCAGCTGCATCTCTTGGTCCCAGAGAAATGGAAAATAAACTTCTACAGAAGAATTCCTCTTTCTCTCCCTTTTGCTTGAGTCTCCTGTCCATTTCATAGCCCAGATATTTATAGCTTCCCCACATACACTGCCAGCATGGAAGGACCCATTTTATCTTGAAAAATTCATTTCAAAATGTGTAAGTCACTTATGAGTTACCAGTGCTTTATTAGAACAATTATATGTGAAGTATTTATAGTGCCTCAGCAGCTAATGTAGGTAACCTGGAATCCACAACCAAAGTTAGGAAAGTACAGAAGAGATTTCTAACGCAGCTCCCCAGAGAAATCAGGGGAGATGAGGATCCAGTGTGCTGCAGCTGGTCAGGTCACTCTATGTCACCAATCAGTGCTGATAGAAGGGCTGTGGTGCTGTTGCTAATTGAAATGAAAAAGCAGAGAAGACAATTTACCAGCAGGGAAAGTGGGACCAGGATGCTTTATTTTGGTTTCATGGTTATTTGCCTTGATATCTTTGGTGATTCATGAATGAAATACTTCTCATTTTGCTGCCTCTTCTTCTGAAGGGTTTCATAGATGTTAAAAGACCCACTACTGCTGGTAGAAGGCATTGACCTGAGCCCAACAAGGCCCTGGACTTGCTCTTTCAGCTAAGGACTGGACGATCTTTTCAAAGTCATGCAGAGAAACTTTGCAGCACAGCCCAAAGAGCCTTGTCCCCAGGGCTGCCAGTCTGGCACGATTAAGGCAGTAAATTCCCTCTTTAGGGGGAGAAAAAAAAAGCAGTTCTTTGTAATACTGAACAATTCTTTAGAGGGAAATATTGTGGGAAGTTTGCTCCAGTGCCGTGTAGATAAGCGAAGTGTCTCCTTGGGATAAGCATCACTATGGATTATTATATGTTTTGTAATTACCAAACCTCTTCCAGCTGCAATAAGACACTCACACGAGGGATTTCAATTGTCCTTTAGATAGTAAAATTGCATAGAAAGATGCTCCACATTAAGGTGATGAATGTTAATGTGCCCAGAAGAGGAAGAGCATTGCTATGAGCAGTTCAGTCATTTTCACCACAGAGTGATTCCATCATTTTTTATTCAGTATTTTGATGGCCTGTTGGAATCAATAATGCTGCAGCCTTAGTGGCTGCAATGGCAGCTTCCATATAATTAAAAAACTTTAGAGTAAAAACTGCCTACAAAAATACAATTAAGCTTTGAGGGCCTGAGTCAATGGAATCAATGGGATTTCCATTGATAAATCAACTTCTGATAGAGCTGCTAATGGATCTTATACCATAATGGCACTTTTCTCCTGAAAATTTCATGGTAGAGTTAGAAAAACATTAGGGAAGTGAAAGTAAATGCAAGTTAAAACAAAAGTTAAAGACTGTAAAATCTCTGACCAAAGATCAAACAGCAAAAGGAATTTAATGCCTAGATCAGAACCACAATAACTGTTTGAACTTGAGGAGAGTGTTGCCTTCCAGGGGCTGAGGATCTGGACAACTTGGGATAACTTTCATCTAAAAATCAAGAGTGCAGTGAACATGGTTTGTTTCAACCTAATAGTCCTTCAGTTCTTCAGCTGAAGAACTTTTCAAATCTTTGTCTATAGGACTTCTGTTAGCAAGGGAATAAGCAAAGTATCTTCCTGCTGGAAGGAATCTGTCCAGCTTTGGAGGCTTCCCTCATCCTGATGTTCTTGGTAGCTTAATCCATCAGCTCTCACACCTAGGACTGAAGTTTACTGTTGCTTAAGTATTCAGATCAATGTTCCCCTGAGAGTCAGAATCTTCTTCTGGTCTGGTGGAGAGCTGCAACATTTCACAGCATGAAACCCATCTCTAAATGAAAGAGTCCAGTAAAAAACTGCTGCTGAGGCCACGTCTTGCATGAGAGGTGGAAAAAACTAGTGAAAACCAGAAAAATTTCCATTTCTTTCAACTGAAGAGGTTCTTAGTGCAAGACTCAGAACATACTGGACTTGTTTGAGACTGGGAAGGCAGCTGAGCCCAGTTGTGGATTTTCGTGGCGTACGATTTCCCGGGGTGGACTGCAAGCTGATTCCACTGGAGTTCCCAGATCTTTCTTGACAGCTGTAGTTAAACTGATAAGCACACGAGGCTTACACCTGGGGAGTTAGGGATTAGTCTTGTTTGTAAGGAAGCAAATATAAATTACTGTGTTTATGCTACTTTTAAAACGCTTTTAATGAGGAATCATTTGCTATTCAAAATTTCAATCTATAATAATACCATAACCCTGCTGAGCTGATTATCATGTGCCTTGTTGAACCTCATTCTTCAGCTGGGAGGTGAGGGCGAGGCAGTTGTCTCAAAGTCTTGTGTCTCTACTGACGCTGGACTCTTTAACACAACGGGGCAAGACACCCCACTTGACTGTGTGCTGTGCTCTGTTTTGTTCTGTGTTCTAGATGGAACTGATCTGACTTCCAGCAGGTCTCAGGAGCATCCTAACTGTCATCTCCAGTAACAAGGCCTGGGGTCATCATGGCAGCAGGAGTAGCAGCGTGGTTGCCCTTTGCCAGGGCCAGTGGCCAACTGTCCTATGCCACTGGCTCCAACGGAGAAAAACAAGAGGCAGGATGAGCTGATCATTCTCAATGTGAGTGGCAGACGTTTCCAGACCTGGAGGACTACACTGGAGAGATACCCGGACACTCTCCTGGGCAGCACCGAGAAGGAGTTCTTCTTCAACGAAGACACTAAGGAGTACTTCTTCGACCGGGACCCTGAGGTCTTCAGGTGCATCTTAAATTTTTATAGAACTGGCAAGCTGCACTACCCCAGGTACGAGTGCATCTCTGCCTACGACGAAGAGCTTGCCTTCTATGGGATCCTCCCTGAAATCATTGGGGACTGCTGCTACGAAGAGTATAAGGACAGGAAGCGGGAAAACGCGGAGCGGCTGATGGATGACAACGACTCGGAAAACAACCAAGAAGGGTCCATGCCATCCCTGAGCTTCCGGCAGACCATGTGGAGAGCCTTCGAGAACCCCCACACCAGCACCTTAGCCTTAGTCTTTTACTACGTCACCGGTTTCTTTATCGCTGTCTCTGTGATCACCAATGTCGTGGAAACTGTCCCTTGTGGCACGGTGCCTGGGAACAAGGAGCTTCCGTGTGGGGAAAGATACGCCGTGGCTTTCTTTTGCTTGGACACGGCTTGCGTGATGATTTTCACGGTTGAGTATCTCTTGAGACTCTTTGCGGCCCCAAGTCGCTACAGATTCATCCGAAGTGTGATGAGCATCATCGACGTGGTGGCCATCATGCCGTACTACATCGGCCTGGTGATGACCAACAACGAGGACGTCAGCGGAGCTTTCGTGACTCTAAGGGTTTTTAGGGTTTTCAGGATTTTCAAGTTCTCTCGCCATTCCCAAGGCTTAAGAATCTTGGGCTACACTTTGAAGAGCTGTGCCTCTGAGCTTGGCTTTCTCCTCTTTTCCCTCACTATGGCAATCATCATCTTTGCAACTGTGATGTTTTATGCAGAGAAAGGGTCCTCGGCAAGCAAATTCACCAGTATTCCTGCTTCCTTTTGGTACACTATTGTAACCATGACAACACTGGGGTGAGTATTACTTTTCCTTTTCCTGAGCAGCAGGCAAGCATGTACTAGGAGCTTGACTCCAGTTGCTCCTCAGCCTTTTCCTGGGTGCATGTTGGAAAAGGGGCTGGAACTGTGAAGGGCTTGATTGTTCTTTGCCTTACAACTTGTGCCATTTATGTGCAGTTGTATAAAACAGAAGAAGCACTTACACCCACTTGACAAATGCTTGGCACGATGGTAAATGAGTGCAGGAGGAGCAAAGTGGTGGAGTAGCAGGTCCTGATTCGCACTCCTCCTGCAGGAGGGAGAAGCTGCCACAAGTGCAAGGGAGCTGCAGCTAGAGCTGGTGTCTTTTTCTGACATTCAGGCGAGGGGTAGAGTTTACACAAAGTTGCTGATGTGTACGTTGTGTCTCTTCGCAACGACAGTCATTGTTTCTTCACTTGACACATCAGGAAGTGCAGATTTGCTGAATTCGAGTAGATGTTGTGGGTCACCATGCTGAAAACACTCGGGAATGGACAGGACCTGTTCTGTCTTTACTCAGTTGAGGAGGACATGGGGCTTCTTGTCTGTGTTTAGTTGTGAGTTGTAGAACTGAGTTTGCTGTAGTGGTTGCAGCAGAATTTCAAACATTCCCACAGACAGGTACAAAGCTAATGGTATCAAAGCAAAGGGAATGTAGCCTGGAGGGCACTTTTTTCCCTTATATTTCATTTCCGTCTTACAGATGTTTCTACCGAGATTATAGATTTGTGCTTCTGTTGCTCTGAACTAAAACCTTTGTAAGCAGAATGGCCAAGCCTCACCCTGACAAGGTTATGTAAAAGGAAGTGGGCAGCACAAGCAGCTGGTTCAGGCAGTCACAAAGCTACGATCGAGTTCAAGCTCTTAATTCTACACAGCAGAACAATATACCAAGTTTATAGTTACTTTGCAAAGAGTTTTCCCACTGGAGAGTTGCCACACTTTGATTTTCTGCTGTAGACAATTGTAATGCAGTGACCACTTTTTCTCTAAACTGCTCTGGATTTTAAACACTTCTCTGTGCCTATTAGACAGGAACAGGCTCACAGTAGCACTTTTAAATTATTAAAATCATAATTCAGCTGTCAGAAAGGCACCGAATCTGGGCATGTGACAGCTGAAAGTCTGAATTTCTTCATTAAGTGCAAATGTAGAACATGTTTGTCATAGTCACCTAAAGATCTCTTATTCCTCCTTTTTAATATCTAAGCAAAATTTGCAAGTCTATGGCAAAAGATGTTCCTTACCCTGGGAAAGTCAGTGCTTGCTTAGGAATCAAAGCTGAGCTTTACATCCCTCACCCTGGGGCTTAGTTTTCTGTGTTCTGCTTGGTCTCTACTAGTCACTTCCCACCCTCATGTCCCCATTGTTATATCTGAGCAGCTTTGGAGGAACACCTGCCTTAGGTGGCTTCTTTTTGTGTCCTCTGCACAAGGGGGAAATGCATGAAAATACAGTTCTGTTTTGGAGTTTCTGCTTAATGGCGATCACACTCATCCTCTTCTACCTACGCACACCTGTGCCCATTCACACCTTGCTGTTATATCTTTGTGACAAGAGAGTTGGGGTCAAGGGAATGTTCAGTGTTGGTTGGGAACAAACCCAAAATGTGCAGAATGTGGAGTGCAGCTGAGTCTCTGCTTCCAATCAGGGCAATGATTTGGGTATCTTCGCTTTCCCTCCCTTTCTGAACGCATGGAGAGACAAACCAGAGTGCTCCCAAGGACTTTACAGTGTTCTCAATCTGTTGTAATCACAGAAATTAGAAATGAATGAGTGTTTCAAAGGAGTTGACATGGATTGAAGAAATTAGACATTTCAATATGGCTTTGTAAGAGTTCTTTGGGAAGGGACCTGTAAAATGCTGTCAATGTCTCAAAGCTTAAACTTCGGGGGATTACAGATTTGGGATTTTTGTTGCAGGATTTTCATTAAATTAGGTGTCTCTAGCAAATAGTCTATCTGCTGAATTTAGTGTCATATCACAGATTTACAAGAAACTCAGAAGCCTCAATAAGAGAAGACCTAAATGAGCCCTGTGCTCTCTGGCAACATCCATCTGCCCACGACCGCACTCGGCAGGTCCCTGTGCTCCCTTATCCAGGCACCCAAAGCCAAATACTCTGCCAAAACCTGTGCTAGAAAGGGAAGTTACAACTATAAGCCATAAAAACCTGATTCCTGCCACACCAGCTCTGCAAAGCCCCATGCAGAGCCCCTTGGAGCTGGTCAGGACGGTGGTGAGGTCCCAGCACTGGTGGAGCAATTGTTGTGCCACAGCTCTCACCCACAGCTTGGCATCATAGCACTGATATTCATGACCTCTAGAAGCAAAACTTTTGTCCTCAGGTCATTTTCACCTTGTGGGGTGAGTGGTTAACCCTCCTGGTGGAGTTCACCATGCACGGTTAACCCTCCTGGTCCCCCTACATTTCCCCAAGAATCCTCTTGGTTTTGACACACAAGCACTTTGAGACACTATTGCATATACATCTCTCTTCAGAAGTCATTTCAATGTTTGGAAGGATCTTGTTACTAATGAGAGTTCTGGCAATTCCTATCACTCATATGCTGCCAAAAATGCAGCCAAGGTCCCTAACGTGCTCCTAATCCATCAGACTCCGCTCACTTCGCTGCTTGGATTTCAGCAACGCTCACAGCTTTTATCAATATCCCAGATATTTTCTGCTCTGTTTGCCTTTAATAATTCAGCCAGCATTTAAAAGAAAACTTATAAAGCACAGTAGGGTTTAAGTTGAAATGAGATAGATATGTACATATTTTTTGTTTTCAAAGCTGAAACATTAAAATCTAGAGAGGTGAATATTTCCCTAACACTGGAATTCCATTGTTTTGACAGAGTGATTTGGGACATGCAGGATAACTTTTCCCATGTTATTAAGGCATTAAAATATTCATTCCATTTATAAAAAGTGGGAAGTTTGCTTACAACAAATGAACCAGGAGAGCAGTAGGAATCCATTAACCCTCCCACCGTACTGTACATCAGCTCCTGCTGTAGATTCCTAAGTATCTTTAAGATACAACTGAATTTCCAGGCTGACCCACAAATCAAAATGCATTTCTTCTTGAAGGTGAAGCAGAGCATCAATAAACAATTGCTGCTTTTGGTGGGGTTACTATGCAAATGGGTTTAGAGGAATCCAGGACGATTTGCAAGCTCCTTAGGTAGTTAACAACCCAAGGAGACAGGTACAACAGCTTTTCTGGCATGGGAAACAAAGCAAAGGAATTAAATTATACTGACCCTGCGTCTCTGATCTCTGCTGTGCTCACCAGCCCTGGTTTAACAGAGGCTGTTTTTAATTTAGCACGATCTAAATTTTGCTCAGGAGGTTTTCTAATGAAACCATTATTCTTGGGTGCATCTTAAATCAATCCAAATTACTGAAACAACTATTCAAAATTAATTCAAAATCAGCTTTCCAATTCATGCAGAAACACTTTGCTCAAGAGGCAACAGCTACATATCTTCAATCTTGCCCTTCTCTAAAGCACCAGTACAGTAAGCACTGGATTTACCAGGAACTTTGCTGTGTTTTGCAGGAGGTTTTGACCCTCAGGACCCTCCAACTCAGGAATGCAGGTGCTGCTGAAAGCAGAGGAGGAGCAGTGCAGGTCCCTTCCCAGCATTCATGTCCCTGTCCTGGTTCTTAGCTAACTTAATATGCAATAGCCACCAGGTTTACATCTATAAAGAAATGGTTTAATTGCAAAAAAATTTGATGACTTTGTCACCAGCATGTTGGTTTTCATAGGATCACAGAATGGGTTGGGTTGGAGGGACCTTAAAGCTCATCTCAGCCCACCCCCTGCCATGGGCAGGGACACCTTCCACTAGCCCAGGTTGCCCCAAGCCTCATCCAATATTCAGTTTTATTCACTTTTACAGAGTGCTGTGGCTGTGGCAGCCTCATGCTCCACTGCTGTGCATCTGCATGCGTCACAAACGCGGCAGCAGGACGAGGCTTCTCTCACTCTACCAAACCCCATGCCAGTTTTGCCCAGAGCACAGGTTTTTCTAAGCTTTTTATAGATGTTTTCATTTCACCTGACAACAGCAGTATGTTTCAGACTCCCTGGCAGTGTCTATGACCTGCAGCACAGGCATCAAATTGTAGCTGTGAAAACCCGAGTGTGATTTCTGCCTGCACCTCCCTGGGATGCGAAGAGGCTCCCAAGGGCTCTGCTGGGCATCACAGCTGTGCCCCTCACTGTGCCCCACACAGGGGTGGGCAATCCCACAATGGTTTGGGTTGGAAGGGGCCTTGAAGGTCTAGTTCCAACCCCCTGCCATGGGCAGGTTCACCTTCCACTAGCCCAGGTTACTCCAAGCCCCATCCAACCTGGTCTTGAAGACTTCCAGGGATGGAGCAGCCACAGCTTCTCTGGGCAACCTGTGCCAGTGCCTCAGCATTCTCATAGGGAAGAATTTCTTCCTAAAATCCAATCTAACCCTGTCCTCTGTCAATTTGAAGCCATTCCCCCTTGTCCTGTCACTCCATGCCCATGTAGAAAGTCCCTCTCCGGCTCCGGTAAAAAGTCCCTCTCCAGCTCCGGTGTATCCCCTTTTGGTAGTGGAAGGTGTTATAAAGAGGGAATATTCCTGGAGGGAATCATCACTGAGATCTTTTGCCCGTTTGTGTCAGGAAACCATCAGTACCACAGAGCAAGAAACAGAGGTTGATGATGGATTTTGTTCTGGTTTGAGCTTAGGAAGACATTGTATAGTTTTCTATTGCCTAATGAAGGCTGAGCTCCCACGGCTCAGCGCTCTCGGGGTGGTCCTAGGAGAATCTATCTCTGGCTGACTGTCTCCCTTACAATTTGCACAAACATAATGGTTTCCAGAACACTATCCCTCTCTCAGATTCAGCTGCACTGGTCAATGAGTTTGAAAGATACACATCAGTGCACTTGGACAACACAGTGCTAGCTGTATAATTCAGTTAAGGAACCAGGTTAACACTGGAGAGT